GGTGATAGCTATATGTACGTTCGTTCATGTAAAACTTCGTGCGCGAATCCGCTTTCGCAAAGCGAAGTTTCACATGTCTTTTTTCCAACAATTGCTAACATTTTTTAGCATGTTTGTGGCGTTTAAAATTTTTCCCTCGTCGATGAGGCCAAAAAGTACCATCGCACTTTATCACTACGTTTGTATGACACGTCTAAATCGATTTAGCGAAATTTCACGTGCGTTTTTCTCGGAAACTATTTACCTTATGCAAAAAATGAGCGTATTTATGGTTTTAGGTAGCACCTAATCCTATATTTACATTTTCATATTATGCCTAAATGCTATGATGGATCAAATCCATTTTTCAAAATCGGCTTACCTTGTGCCATGGAAACGTAGCCTATGTATCACCAATAAAATGTCTTTTTATTTATTTTTTTACCCAATGATATTTCTGCAATGCACGGCAAGACTATACCACAATCTTATCTTAGTACCTACTTTGCAAGCGCATGTCCCGATGCAAGCTAAGAGCAGAAGAATTCCGACTTTCTAATCGAAGCCTACGTTTCAAGTTTTCCCCAGAGTAGGTAAGTGGAACGCCTATCTGCCGCCCTTGCGACGCAATGAACCCTTTACGTCACCGTTCCATGACGGGCAGTTGTCAGTTGTCAATAGCGGTACCCCGTCCCCGGAACCGGCGAGGGATTCCAGACGGGTCAGCGGAGGGCACATGACGTCACAGCATGAGTCGGAAGCCGTGGCGAGTGGGACGGCTGCCCCACCCATCGACGCGACGGATCTGAGCTGATGATGGTCTTGGTGGGGTAATGCGTGCTCCATGGAAAACATCCAGTCAGTAGTCACTGATGACATCATTATTTTGTAACAGGTGTACGTGAAACCTACTGTAAAAAGAGCGTAGGTAACGTGAAACGTTTCAGAGACCGATCAGGCTCAATTTTGTATGGAACCGTGATCTGGAACTTAACATGTGAAATTACAGCTCGCAGCACAATTTTAACGGCCTAAAAGAACGAACAAAATGGGAAATGGTATGGCCTTTCACACATTGAACCGCGTCTACACTCTTATCATCATGCATGACATCATACTCTCCACACCATACCTCTCTCATTCCCTGCACTTTGCACGGAGTTGCACAGCGGTGCACTACCTGTATCGCCCCATCTCTCGCGATCCATTCCACCCCCGCACCCCTCTATCCACCTGCTCTGTCTCTGGCTCGGCGGTCAGTCGAGCAGCTGCCCGCTGCCAGCTGCCCACTGCCCAGCTGCCCCCGTTCACTCTGCTGTGCGCGTGACTGTCCAAATTTCCGCCGCCGCTCACCGGAGGCGTGTCATCTGATGCCGCCGCACATTGGGACCAGTTCCGGCGGCGAGCGGCCGAGCTGACCGCGCGATGTCCCGCTCTCTGGGTCATTTTGCTCCGGCTGCGACTCCGGCTCGGTGTCGGGTTTCTATTGATGTGCCGCCTCATTGGTCGGTGCTCTGTGATTATTTTCGCACCGGACTAGTTTTTGTTTGGTGAGGTTTTGGTTTTACCGCGAGCTGACTGTCCCCTAATTTTATCTATTTATTTATTATATCGATATGTAGTATCTCAGCCTTAAATTATTGAGTAGAAGAATGTTATTTATACAATTATTATACTATTAAGGGGCGGTAAATGAGAAATTGGCCGTAATTTTTCCATTACCACTTTCTCATTTATCCATTCTTTTTCTTTCTCCCCCGTCTTCTATCTCGTTCTCCCTCTCTGCCATCCTCTGCACTCCTCTCTCTCATCCGCCCACTCCCCTCTGTGCGCGTCAGCCCCGACCCAGATCGCCGCAGATAAATCGTCGCGAGTGCGTCGAGAGCGTCTCTGCGCCTGTCGTCGACACCGCGCCACCCATTACTGGCGATTGGCGGCGGCGCTGCCTGCGTCAGATGCCGAGGGTGCCGCGGGATCGGGTAACGGCTATAGGCGACGAGTCACAAATTCGGCAATTTGGCTAAAAGCGCACACGAAGACGGCGAAAGTGGCCAGCGACGACGGTGTGGCAATGCGACGGCAAATTCGTGCATGTTGCTAAGGGGATACAGAAACGGCGAAGCATGCAGGTTAAGTAAAGATAGAAGAAAGATCACACAACCGACTCGCAACTAACCGACTCGTAATAAGCACCGACTCGTAAATAAGCACGCAAGGACGCAATGAATCGCGACACGTCATTGCATCTGGCCTTGAGCGAAATCTTTGAGATTGTATCTAACCGCGCTGGAGTAGCTCAGCGCGACCCGGTCCTTCGGATTGGCAAGGCGCACATTCCGGGGCACCGGTGCGGATGGTGGACAGATAGGAGATACTGCCACTGGTTCTAGCCCGGTAGAACGACGACTTTCGCTGTCCGACTCGTCTCCCCGGTAATGGTATGCTGAGGTGGCCGCCCGGCGCGGCCGAGCAATGCATTACACCGTGCTCGCAGTCCCGTGATGCAATAACGAAATGGCAAGCACAGCGACAGCACGCATAATGTGTAGGACCAGCACGACCCCCCTACTACCGGCGTGTGGGACCAGCACCGGGGTGCAGTTCCGACCGAGAGTCGAGCACAGGCGCTTCACAAAACGATACCCAGATCAACATTCCTGCAAAATGTCCACGGTATCTGCGCTTGGCTCCATTTCGAGCAACTGTAAATGATGCAAGATTGAGATACAAGATGGCGTCGCATTGACTGGTGCTGTAATATTATAATAACTAACATCACTGGATGTAGCCAGTCAGCAGCGGTGACCCTGCAGAGTGACCTCATGGACAGCGAGATCCCCAGGGTATGTACCCAGCGCGACCGTGAATGCAGACTGCTCAGTGACGTAGCCAGTAGCGGCGCGCCGGGTGTGATACGGCCCAGTGACCTCATGACGAGTGTGTGACGTCACAGTCGTCTGACGTGATGGGCCGGCGAGGTGTCGACTGCCGACATCCCGACTATGATCGGCATGCAGGAACGGGCGGAGAGCCAAGGATCGGTGCATCCCGACACACTGGCAATGACACACTTGCAGACACACTTGCACACATCACTTAGAGACGTCGCCAGACAGTGCAGGTGGTCAAGAAGTTGAAGTGTGAAATGTGCTAAGATTTTTTTTTCATACATTAGTCCTTGCCACAAATAGGATAGGGCTATCTGGCGAATGCACCTGATTAGACCAAATCTGCACCAAATCTCTTCTGCAAAAAATATCTTCAGAATTCAGATCATTTGTTTCAGTGTTTTAATCGAAAATAATGTGTTATGCCTGCGCTATTGTATAACTTCGACAAAAATGGTCCTAGAGCTACGGCAGTGGTACCATCGCATTCGCCTTGTCAAGCCGCGTCGAATGATATATATTTTATTTGGAAAAGGTCAAGTTTTATGTTGACCTCACGTGACCTCGAATGACCTCTGGTTGACCTTGACACATGAAAGGTCATTTATGATGGATTCGTACCCGCTGATCACGAATCTGGCATCTATTTTCCTCTAAGCCTTCATTTAGAGCCTCTGGATGGCAAAATTGTCTTATTTATTATTACCAACTTGAATCAGTGAAATAGCCTCTAGCAAGGATACTCTTCTGTGACCTTGACCGTTGAGCAGCCTTGTATCGTAAGATGAACCACAAATAGGGACCTGATAAGCCTCAAAACATTTCAAAACATCTTTGAAGTTAGCACGCAAGATGTACGAAAAAGTGCAAAGTTTGAGGTCAATTTTAAGCATGACCTTGACCTTGACCTTTGATTTTGAGCACATTTTCGGAATTCTCAGATTCTCTTCTTTCGTTTGACACCCAATTTTGCCGGTTTTATGCATCCTGCCGTCGTCTAGAACGCTTACTTTGAGATCACTACACATGTGTCGGTTTTTGCCTTTGACCTTGACATCTGACCTTGAAAATTGACCTGAGGTCAAAAATTGTGGGTGCTTTAGAATCGTCTCGTAAGGACCTTTCGTTTGGTATCGCTTTTGTTTCCGTAGCTCCCTTATTTACGGAGTTAGACAGGGGGGGGGGGCGAAAAACGCCCCCCCCCCGGGCTGCGGTGGTTGGGATTACCCCCCGGGCCCGGCAGGGATAAGCACTGCGTCTAGAAGGGAGGGAGAGGTTATGTTTGTAAATTATAATTATAATGGCAACCGGAAAGCAGCTCATATTCAGGATGGCATACGGAACACAATCGCTTCTTGTTTTGTAATGACGTTAACGGTAAATTGAAACAACTTTTTCTGCATTGTGCGAGTCCGGTTTTGTGCTTTTCTATTAATATAATCGTCACGGTTAATTACACGCTGCTTGTGGCACCATCGTCTAAGAAATCCGATAATTCTGATGGACACGTAATACCCAAGAACTATCCCACCAGACCTATAAAGTTCAGTCCATTGTTCCTTTGCCATATACCCCAGAGGAGAGGGTATGCTGGTTCAACTCTTTTAATGTTGCCAATTTCGCGCTCATGTTTCGCCACTCACATAACAGCTGCGCCCATTTGCTCGATGACCCCCATTATTGCTCATACTTGGCCGATTTCTGTTTCGCGTTCATTACGCACAGGCGTCTGAACGCCTCCTGCATTGGCTCGCCTTGCATAATCGCGTGACGTCACACCTTACGTCAGTGACGCCTTGGGTTCGGTAATGGGTGTGCGGCTGGCGATTCGGTTCGGCCCGGGTTGAACAACCGCCCTGGCATCTGCATGATCCCAGAGGATATCATTCGGCGCAATCCAGAGCAGGGCAACTATGCTGATTCGCTAAGCGATGGACTCTCTATTTAGATTGAACTTTGTTCGCACGCCGTTTGCAGAGACGGGGAGTTGTCGTCGAACGGGCTGTATTCACTGCCGTGGTGCCGTAACTGCACACAAACAAAAGAAAACATCTCAGTTTCGGTCATGTCAACACCACATTCATGACGTCATACAATATTTCTATCATGAATCGGTACATATCATACAAATACAATTTCCCTTTGTTTATATCTTATCTGACGCGTTTCAAATACATTGTTTACTAACTTTCGTATCTTATCTCGGAACACCTTTAAATACAAAAATGCAAACACTTTCAGTCGCAGTCACAAGTGATGATTGCATACAATTTCTTACAGATAATGACAGTCTAAATCCCCAGTTCAGTTCATACCGACAAGTTTTGCCTCCCATGCGAAGTCTCAGCGTGCAAAACGGGTTCTTGGTCGCACCAACTTCAACCTCGTATAAGCGCCATTAGCACAACGCTGAAATGCACACAAAAGAGGAAAATATATCACAACTGTACCGATATACCATATCGTAAGCGAATAAATAACACACAACTATCAGAATTATCGCTCATTTGCGTTTGTGGTCGATCGACAAGCTCAACAAAAAATTGTCCACAAATTTGGCGCAGCGCCAGATTGCCTTCGCAGCATCGCCATTTCGTTTTATCATGTGAAGCTGCTTAATAATCAACACATATCGAAATGACACACTTACAAGCTACATACAAACCAATACCTGTATCGAAATATCACTCACCCGTTGATATTCTACATAAAAACAAACACAAAGGCACAGACCACTGACCAACCGGCCATTCGTCCCCCACGTGAGCCGGCCGAGCGCCGCGCAGCGGCCGTGACCTTGACAAGGTTCGGCCTTCAGCCGGCTCTGAGTAGAGCTGCCGCTTTACGGAAACACGAGAGCGCCGGTGCGCCGACGAGGCGGCGCCAACACCCACCCCTTTTGAACCATCCGGGTTCAAAAACGATGCCATACTCTATTCTTCGGTAGCCAGGATCTTCACCACCTTGGTGACTGGGCGAAGGAGCACAGTGCCCCTCGCGCGGACCTTCACCGATCGCACACGACCATCAACTCCTTTAAGTGCCTCGACCACGCGGCCGAGAGGCCACACTCCTCTTGGTACTAGGTCGTCTACCAGAACGACGACATCTCCTGGCGCCAGGTTCGTTCGGCTTCTTGTAGCAACGGAGCGCTCCTGTAGAAGCGGCAAGTAGAAACGCCTCCACGCGCGCCAAAACTGCTCCGCCAGGTATGCCGCTTGCCTCCATCTCTTGGGGCCGTCCAAATCTCGTTCGTCCGACGAATCCTGGTTCTGCGTCACACATTTTAGGTGAAGAATGTGATTCGGTGTCAGGGGTAGTTCATCCCGTGGGTCTGACGTCACTGGAGTCAACGGTCTGTTGTTGATGATTGACTCTGCTTCACATAAAAACGTGTGAAGCGTTTCTTCTGTGAAAGTCTGTCCTGTTAGAAGTGCGTTCAAAGTCTTACGCACGCTTCGAATGAGTCTTTCCCACACGCCGCCGTGGTGGGAGGCTGCGGGGGTATTGAACCGCCATTCGATCCCCCTGTTCAACATCTCCTTCTGAATGCTACTGTTGCTTGAGATCAGAGTGTCGATTTCTCTTCGCAGCTCCCTTTCGGCTCCTACGAAGTTAGTACCCCTGTCGGAGCGGAGCAGGCGCACATCGCCTCGTCGGGCCACGAAACGGCGCAACGCACAGATGAAAGAGTCAGCTGATAGGCTGTCTGCAAGTTCCAAATGTACTGCTCTCACGCTCAGACAGGTGAAGATGACACCAAACTTTTTCACGTGTCCTCGTCCTCTCTTGGCATACAACGGACCAAAATAGTCCACACCGGTGCAGGAGAACGGGTGAGAAGTCTCCTCCACCCGATCACGCGGCAGGTCTGCCATCTTCTGTCCTTCCACCGGGCGATGGCGTCTTCTGCATTTCACACATCGGTGTAGACACCTCCGTACTGCGCTGTTTCCTTTGATGACCCAGAACTTCGTCCTGAGTTCTGAGAGAACATGCATGCGCCCTTCGTGCCCTACTCTTTCGTGCAAATCAGTGATGATGAGATCCACGATCTTGTCTTTGTCTGGAAGGATCAGAGGATGCTTTGTCGTCCAATCCAAGTTAGAGTTTGTCAAGCGTCCGCGCATCCTGATGAGGCCATCATCCACAAACGGGCTCAGACGTGCCAGACGGCTGGCACAGCGCACTTCGCGTCCAGCACCCAAATCGGCCAGCTCCTGCTGGAAGTGCGTCTTCTGAACGTGCTTCACAACGATTCTCTCGGCATCTTCCAAGTCAGCAGGTGTGAGCTCCTGTTTTCCTGAGGGTTCTTCACCTTTGATCTTGCGCTGCAAGACCTGAATCGTGCGGCGGATCCATGCCACCGCTGTCGTGAGCTTCTTCCATGATGAATGGTACTCGATCAGACGATCCATTGGCTGTGGGCTGGAGTCTTCAGTCTTGCGTGCCACGGCTGCAGCCGACAGGCCAGAACAGAGCCGAGTGGACTTCACTTCCGGGTCGTCAGGGCGAATCTCACCGACGCATGGTGACTTCGGCCAATGTTCCGGTGACTTCCAGATGAATGATGGTCCGTTCTGCCACATGTCTTGATCATGGAGATTTCCTCTAGAAACCATGTCTGCGGCATTCAGCGATGAGGGTACGTATCGCCACTGTTCCTTCCTTGATCCATCATGGATGGCGGCGAGTCTGTTCGCTACGAAGATAGGGTAACGAGTGGTCTCGTTGCTGATGTAACGCAGTACCGTGGTACTGTCCGTCCAGTAGGTAACGTCCTGGATCTTTCTGTCCAAAGCGAGCAAGAGTTCTTGATTGACTTCGACGGCGAGCTTGGCTGCGGCTAGTTCCAGTCTTGGGACTGTAATCGCCTTGAGTGGGGCGACTCGACCTCGTCCCATCACCAGTGAGCAGGATATTTCACCATCTGCGCTCACAGTGCGTATGTAGGAGGCTGTCCCATACCCCTTGAGACTGGCATCGGCGAAGTGGTGTAGACTTACAGTCGTCGCGGCACTCAGTCCCTGCGGGCTGAAACATCGCGGAACTCGAGCATCCAACAGGCAGCTCAACTCACTCAGCCATCTGTCCCACTCAGCTCCCACTTCAACAGGAACGGGATCGTCCCAGCCACTTCGTAGCCGTGTCAGCTCTTGCAGAACCATCCTTCCCCGAACCACGTGCGGTGCGGCCAGGCCAAGCGGGTCATAGCAGGCTGCTGTTGCAGAGAGTATTCCTCGTCGCGTCCTCGGTTTTCTTTCGAGTGCAGCGATGTCGAGGCTGAAACCGAGTTCATCTCTTTCCGTGTCCCAGCGTACACCTAGAACTCTCTCACTTGACGGGGTTTCTTGTCCTAGTTGAGGATTTCCTTTCGATCTGTTCTCCTCTGGCAGCGCTCTGAGCACTTCAACGCTGTTGGAGCTGAACTTAGTCAGGTTGAAGCCACCCATGGCGCAGAGCTGCTTCAGGTTCATCGCCAACTCCACAGCTGATGCTTCTGACGTCGTCGCCTGACAGACATCGTCAACATAGAAGCCTCGTCTCAGGGCCATCTTGACTTCAGGAGAGTACGCAGCTCCAAAGTCCTCGGCGGTTCGATGGAGAGCATAGTTTGCGCAGCTGGGGCTGGACGTAGCTCCAAATAGATGTGTTGTCATTCTGTAGACCTGGGCCGCGCCATTGACATCACCGTCCGGCCACCACAGGAAACTCAGGTAGTTTCTGTCGTTCTCTGGCACCATCACCTGCAGAAACATTGATTCAATGTCGCCCGTGAAGGCTACCACCTCCTGACGAAAGCGAATCAAAACATCGACCAGTGAGTTTGATAGATTCGGGCCTTGCAATAGCACGTCGTTCAAGCTGATTCCGTTGTAGGTAGCACTACAGTCGAATACTACCCTCAGTTTGTTCTTGGTGGGATGGTACACACCGTGGTGTGGGATGTACCAGTGATCCCCCTTTCCACTTCCGGAGTCTGTTGGTGCTTCTTCGGCATAGCCTTCATTCAGCAGCTTCTTCATCTGCGCCTTGTAGTCAGCTGCGTATTTTCCGTCCCTGTCGAATTTCCTTCTCAACGATTCGAGTCTTCTTTCTGCCATCACGCGGTTGTCTGGCAGATCTGGTTTGGCATCTCGAAACGGTAGTCCTATCTCGTACTTCTCGCCATTCTTGGTGCATGAATCCTCGACCTTGAGACACCATTTGACGTCTTCCACTGAATAGCCTCTGCGACTATCGGTACTGTCGAAGAATTCCAGATCGGGATCCTCCAGGATCTTGATGCGATTGATTCGTGCGACATGAGCACCTGGTCCCGTCTTGCCCTGTACTCCACACACCAGCCAACCATATCGAGTTCTGACAGCATATGGGCCCTCCTGACCAGGGCGATTCACCACTTCCACGGGTTCTGACACCACACCGGCGTTCGCACCGATGAGTATGTAGGCCAATGTCCATCCTCTCCATCCAGCCGATCTTGACTCCACGTTCTCGAAGATGTGGCCACTTGTCGACGTCCTCTTGGCGTGCTACGTCCTCCTCTTCGACGGGGATGTGATCGACAACGTAGAGTACTGGGAGCTCGACTAGATGAGAGCCGTCTTCAGATCCGATGCTCACACCAGTGACCAGAGCTGTCTTCATTCTTCGTTCTCCATTTATAGTCGACATCACTACGGACGTTTTCTCCTCTGGTTGCATGCCCAACTGACGTACCAGCTTCCGTGTTATGAAAGAGTGTGTGCTGCCAGCATCGATGAAAGCTCCAGTTCCCACGGAGCGATCGCCGAAGTTGGCTGATATTGGAAGCACCTGAAGCTTTCCACCACCTTCACATGCCTGCGATACATGTCCCGACTTCACCACGTTGGCGTTTGCAGGTGGCTCTCTGTGCAGACTCGTAGGATGTGATTTCTCGCATTTCTTGCAGCGGCTTCTTTGCTCACAGTTCTTGGAGAGGTGTCCTTTCTTTAGACAGCCGAAACACAGTCCATTTTGACGCACGTACTGTGACTTATCTTGCTCCGATTTCGCTTCGAATGCTCTACACACTTCAAGTTCGTGGGGCTGATCGCAGTAGAAGCACTTCTCTGGCTGCTTCATGCTACTTGCATAAGCTCGACTTCTTTCATGACTGAACTGGTGTTCTGAGTGCTTGGTGTCCTTTCGACTATCCTGATATCTTCTGACCTGCATTCGCTGAGCTTCTTGAGGACCTCTCTCTGGTCTTGCTCGCGTGGCCAGCACATGTCTTCCATATGCAGGGTTCTTGCTGATCCGTGCTTCTGTTTCCATGAAGTCGACCAGATCCGTGAAGCTCGCTTGGCGCTGGTGCTCTTGCTGGATTCGGTCAGCCGTCCTGCGCCACCGATCTGCCATCCATGGTACTTTCTCGATGATCTTGCATATTGTGCCTGGCTCTAGACCACCTCTTGACGTCGAGTGAAGGGCGTTCAGAACGCCTCTCAGCAGGATGGTAAAGCTGTCAAGACCTTCAACGTCCTCATATCTGATGGGTGGATGACTCAACACTTTGTCAATCAGGCTCGCTCTCGCCGATGTGAAGTCGGTGTACCTCGCCTTCAGCAGACGCACGGCTTCTTGATATCCCTTTTGTCCCAGGTAGGTACACGTTGCTACAATGTCATGAGGTTTCTTCTTCGTCATTTGTAGCAGATATAACAGCTTTTCTTCTTCGCTGTCCAGGTTGGCGGCTATGTTTGCCTCAAATGCGGCCAGAAATTGAGCGAACTCCTCTTCCTTGCCGTCGAACGCGATCAGTTCCGGGGGTTGCATTCCCAGTCTCTTCAGGTTTGGAAGCACTGATGCTATCTCTACTTCGCTTCTTTTCATTCTTGTTGATCGAGCTTCTTCTCTTGAGCTTTCTTCGTCTTCTTCAATTTCCCTGGGCTCTTCTTCACCATTTGGTTCTTCTTCACGTCTTCTTTCTCGGACATGCTTTCTGGGTTCTCGCTTATTTCTTGCTTCTTGTTCACGTTTCTTCAGTTCTTGATCTACCCTTCTTGCTTCATTTGTTTTCCTTGATTCGCTTCTGGTTCTTGGTTCATTTCTCATTTCATTTCTCATTTCTTGTTCATTTCTTTGCCCATGTTCCTGTTCTGGTTCATCTCTTTTCATTTCTTGTTTCATTTCTGGTTCATGTCTTGGCAGTTCTTGTTCATTTCTTTCTTCTTGTTCATGTGCTTTCATCACACGTTCCTCGAGTGACGTCATCAGTGTTTCCCTTTCAAACTGAGCCAGTACTTCTTCTTTTGCCAGACTTTCATCAAGCTCAGCTTGAACTTCAAGCTCTTCCTTCTTTCTTCTTAGCTCCTCTTGCATCGCTTCAAGCTCATGTCTTTTCTTCAATGCCGCTGCCTTGGTACGCAGTCCCGCCCTCCTTGCTGCCTCCAGGGCTCGCTCCGAAGCCACTGAAGCAGCCTTGCTGGATGTCCTTGTCGATGACGAGCCAGATCTCACTGATCTGGCACCTTCCGCACCTTCCTTGACGTCTTTCAGCTCCTGCTCCTGCTCAGGACTGGACTTAACACTAACCTTATCACCTAGAGCACTCTGTGCAAGTTCTTCCTTTAACACTTGCCCCAACCTCTCTCGTAGAACAGATTTTGTACCTCTTGTGTCTTCTCCCCTCCTATCTAACTCCCGCTTCAGCTCAGCAACTTGCAGTTTATCCAGATCCATGATGTCGGTCAGGCGCGTGTGCAGTCCGCGTGCAGTCCTGGACGTCAAACTTGTCGTTACTGATGTTCGCACGCCGTTTGCAGAGACGGGGAGTTGTCGTCGAACGGGCTGTATTCACTGCCGTGGTGCCGTAACTGCACACAAACAAAAGAAAACATCTCAGTTTCGGTCATGTCAACACCACATTCATGACGTCATACAATATTTCTATCATGAATCGGTACTTATCATACAAATACAATTTCCCTTTGTTTATATCTTATCTGACGCGTTTCAAATACATTGTTTACTAACTTTCGTATCTTATCTCGGAACACCTTTAAATACAAAAATGCAAACACTTTCAGTCGCAGTCACAAGTGATGATTGCATACAATTTCTTACAGATAATGACAGTCTAAATCCCCAGTTCAGTTCATACCGACAAGTTTTGCCTCCCATGCGAAGTCTCAGCGTGCAAAACGGGTTCTTGGTCGCACCAACTTCGACCTCGTATAAGCGCCATTAGCACAACGCTGAAATGCACACAAAAGAGGAAAATATATCACAACTGTACCGATATACCATATCGTAAGCGAATAAATAACACACAACTATCAGAATTATCGCTCATTTGCGTTTGTGGTCGATCGACAAGCTCAACAAAAAATTGTCCACAAATTTGGCGCAGCGCCAGATTGCCTTCGCAGCATCGCCATTTCGTTTTATCATGTGAAGCTGCTTAATAATCAACACATATCGAAATGACACACTTACAAGCTACATACAAACCAATACCTGTATCGAAATATCACTCACCCGTTGATATTCTACATAAAAACAAACACAAAGGCACAGACCACTGACCAACCGGCCATTCGTCCCCCACGTGAGCCGGCCGAGCGCCGCGCAGCGGCCGTGACCTTGACAAGGTTCGGCCTTCAGCCGGCTCTGAGTAGAGCTGCCGCTTTACGGAAACACGAGAGCGCCGGTGCGCCGACGAGGCGGCGCCAACAAACTTATAAACACCAAGCGTCATGCTTCCGCTGTGAACACTGGATATGAGCATGTCGCGTCATGAGTATGTCAGTAACCCGTTAAATCATCAGCGCTACGCTGAGATGGTTTCGCAAGGTTATGTGCTCACTGCTCACTATGCAGAGGGGATGATGTGGGTATTCTCGGAACTGCATCTTCTTCGTCCGGTATTTGTGACGTAGACTGCCGGAAAGACTAGGACGATGTCACAATAGCGGTCTGGCTCTCAGACTATTACTAACGAGACAAGTCGTCTGATGATGTGATTGATATGCAAATTATCAGGGTCTGGCTTTGGTGAGCCACCGCGCACCATATGCTAAATATGTAGGATGAAGCACCTTGACGAAAGAAAGAGAGAGAGAGAGAGAGAGAGAGAGAGAGAGAGAGAGAGAGAGAGAGAGAGAGAGAGAGAGAGAGAGAGACAGAGACAGAGAGAGAGAGAGAGAGAGAGAGAGAGAGAGAGAGAGAGAGTAGAGAGAGAGAGAGAGAGAGAGAGAGAGAGAGAGAGAGAGAGAGAGAGAGAGATGTTTCAAACATACTGATCAGTTCTGTGGTAAGCAGAAAAATAAATATACCAACAGCTTCTTATCCCGAATCGCTTCGGCAGTGATTCGCAGATAAACCGACTGTGCTGAGTGGCTGTTTGCGCTGCAAGGGAAGTGCAAGGGAGGGCCTTTGCCCTCTGGGGTGAATCCAGCTGGTATTTCTCAGCATCGCTTACGCAGCGGTGCGATGCGGGTAAAAACGCAGCATCTAGAGAGAACGATGACAAACTTGGCATCTGAGCAGAGGGGCGACGGGGCGCGTGGGGAACATATTTTAGGAAAAACAGATTCTACACTACAGACGCTTACAAATAAAATTGATAAAGCACTAAAAGACTGTTCCATGTGGCAGGGATCCTGAGTTTGGTGACGGTATCTGCAATACTCTAGGAGATATCGACGGAAAGCAGTGAGAGCCCCACCGGGAAACTACCTTGTGACCCCATTTCATTGACCTCGGTCCAACCGATGGCGTTACAGGCCAGATCAAAGGTTGCATTTTCACCGTTTACAGACATTCCAAGAAATGTGTTGTAAAATCGAGTAAAAATATGTTATTAAAAAGCATCGATGGTCGATGGAGAATTGTTTGTCAAACACATATTTTGCTATTTGAGGTCACTGATACCAGGCCATGTCAAAGAGGTCAGGTCACTGAGAGTCACAATATGAAAGTGTCGTGTGATGCATGTTTTATGTTTTATGTTTTAAATGATACATGTTTTATTTTTCTGTATCTTCATAGCACCAAGGGCCTGACAGCTCTTTCCTGAAACCTTTTTTGTCGAAAATGGCAGAACATGACGTCATTCTGACGTCATTTGTGGCCAACCTTTCACTACCTTTAGAAAAAGGTTTTGGCCACAATGAGTAAAATTGATGTCTGGAGGGGTCCTGAAAGTTTGGTGACGCTATCTGCAGTCGTTTAGGAGATATCTACGGAAAAGGAGGGGGGGGGGGGGGCGTTTCGCCCCACCCCGTACGGGGCGCGGGTTAATGATGAACCAAATGGAGTCAGATAGCAGTTTGTACCTATGTAATATGTGTTCTATGAGAAAAAGCACTTTTAAATGGCCTCCTTACAATGAAATACCAAATGATGAAATAATGAAATAATTATTGATGATTTCGACCACAGGTCATTATCAAAATAAGCCAGACAGAACTTTTGTCAGACACCAAAAGTTCTGACAAAAGTTCTGTCTGGCTTATTTTGATAATGACCTGTGGTCGAAATCATCAATAATTATTTCATTATTTCATCATTTGGTATTTCATTGTAAGGAGGCCATTTAAAAGTGCTTTTTCTCATAGAACCTATACCTATGCCTTACATACAGCAAGTGCTTCAACAAGTTAACTTCATATATGTAATATGTGAGTAGAATTACCACTTAGCAGTGCTGCTGTGTATTTATTATCATTTTAGCTGCTGCCAAGAGATCATCAGCTTCGCTCATCTCCCATCATTGGTTCTGAAAAATTCCGCAATGACACTCGAATATGTCCTATCAGCTGCCGCGCTGTCACTGCCGCATCTGTCAGCTGCCGCGCCTGTCACCGCCAGCTGACAGAGTTACGTCGATCGTCTTCCCACGACTGTCAGCGAGGCTGTAAATATGCTCTCGCGCGGTCATTCGCCCGCCCGGGGTCCAGCACACGTGGAACCGCAACTCGTGCGCGTGTGATGCAACACGTGACTGAAGAAGTTGGAAGCGCGACCGCTGTCGGCACTTCAGACGGCCAGTAGTGTTCAAGATGGGGTTAGCGACGCGAGAAGTATATTAATAAGGAATGAGTGAATAGAGACAACTTCTAAAATGGGGCGCGATTTGCGGGAAGACGGTAGCATGCAGAGAAACTGGTTGGTGTTGAATGAAGCCTCGCTCACACTAAGTACGTACTCGTAAAGCTGAAGTGTGTACGGCAGCAAAACTGGTGACTGGTAAGGGTGTATGTACTACTATTATATAACTAGTCAAACGCAGTGGCGACAACGGCGTTCACATGAAGCTTAAGAATGCAGCTGCGGCTGCCATTCCATTTACCATCATTGAACACTGGCTCTACAGCCTGAGTCACTTAGGGCATGCTTACTTATGTAATTTTGCGCTCTAACTTACGCAAAATAGATCCTCTAATACTGCCTTCCTCTGATCTAAATATATCCTAAGCTCGCTTCTGTGAGAAAACTAATGTTCAAATATCTCGCTTTAACTTTTTTTTTATTCAGGGCTCCCTCCAACGGGCTCATATACTCCCATTTACATATACTCCCATTTACATATACTCCCATTTACTTCAAGTCATTTCCGAAGAGACTGTAGTTAAAAGGGATTTTAATGATGGGCCCGTCAAGTTCTTACTATGTTAGTAACGCATGCCCTCTTAGATATCAGCCCCAACATGAACATCCCAACATGATCCCCAATTAAGTCGATACTAGAAATTACAAATTAAGAGGAATTTCTACGCATATGATGGTAGCATAGATGAAGATTAATTAATATTTGTCGAGTCGCAGTTGAGAAAAGGCACAGTAAATACAGCTGTTCTCCGTAAAATGTAATAATAAGTTGCTGATGTGTTTCACATTCCATTCTCTCGATAGTCTTCTGCAGACGACTAACTAAGACAGTGGAAGTCCGCATTTGACAGGGCGAAAGCCCATGAATGGTGCACCTTCACTGTGCTTTTGCTTCCCTAATCGCGACAGAACGCAAAATATGGAACAAAATAGGCTCACAAAAGATGGAGTCCTTCCACGACGACCTTATTTTGTAACCAGCTGGCTACTTCTGTCGGGGCGCATCCCAAGGCGAGACACGCATTATAACCGGTCATTTTCCTTTGAATGGCATACCGGTGTCCAAATTTGAACAGATATGACAGAGCCACGGGCAAAAGTGAGCTGTTGTGAATATGCCTGTCAAAGAATCTGACACGATCGTTCGATTGGCATTAGCATGTCTTTAGTCGTTAGGCACAGGATTGGGCATTTCCTCGCTTGTGGACAGACTTCCACATATTTGTATACGATTTAACACGAATTAGCTGTGTCAATGTCGATTTGGTGGCGCAATTCGGAATGTCTGAAAAAGCATACCCCGGGATAGCTCGCTTATTACAGTGGCGGATCCAGGGGGGGGGGCAAAATGGGCATTTGCCCCCCCCCCCAAACGGCATAATTTTAACATTACGCCTATGGACGATGCATGGAAAGAATCGATAAATTGTTATGGTTTGCCCCCCCCCCAAACCTCTGAGCTGGATCCGCCTCTGGCTTATTAACAGGAAAAGGCAGCGCAAATGCTCTCCATCAATCTTAACGTTCGTGCACGATGTGCGATTGTTCATGTTTGCCGTCTTGAAAAACTGCCTGAATGTTATATGAGGCTTGTTACATAATATATCAGAAAAGTCCTTAACCAGTTAGGTAGGTTTGCTGCTTGAAACGACTTCAACCCTCTCGTTCGGTTGATATGAATTGGGACGTTCTATCTACGTGATGAGCTTAAATTTTTGCTGGTGTGCAGGACTAGGTATGAAATATTTGCATCATTTTAGTTGCTAGTTTTATCTGCGTCATCCAAAATTATTCCCGAGTTGAAATATACCTCTTCATACCGTTTGCAAATGTTCGAAAGACGTTGGTGCTTTTCTTTGGGGCCGAAACACCCTCAAATATCGGGACGTCCGTGAACATGATACACTGAGCCAGAAAATGGCACCTGTGACTCCTTTTATACGCCTGAGGTCATCTCAGGTCATGAAACGTCTCCAACAACTTTTTGACAATAACTTTAGATAGAAACATGCCAGAGCGCTGAAAAATGCGAAACCATACGAATGCGCTCAGCTAACAATACCTACGGATCGAATGACATGCAGCATGACCTTTTCCGTGACCTTGACCTGAGGTCAATTTTTTTAGTTGACCTCTCCAGGTCAACTTATAGTTCACTCTACGGGTCTCGACGACACGAATGCGATGCCGGTAAAATCAGCGTCATACAAGCTTGGGGTCAAACGTTATTATATAATACAAAAACCTTTTCCGCAAAAACGTCAAAATTTGATACTTTGGGGGCTAAACCGTTAAACTTAGGTGAAATCGGAGACAATATAAACAAGCCATATGAAATAGCTATCGAATGCGCTTTTCCGCAGCGCTGTAGCTGTATTGGTTCCCGACTTATGCGACGATTTGTGAAAAGTTGT